CGGCAGTTGTGGTTGCGGCAGTGGCTGCAAATGTGGACAATAAAGAACACATTATTAAATTTGTAATAATACACTGTACTAAATATTTCACAATAAAAATGTAATATTTCACTATTGTAAATGTACTTACATTCAGATAAATATTTGTCAGTTTTAAACGAAAAGCCATTATACAAGTAAATTGAGCTTAAGTAAGGTTTTTTAGTAGTCCCACTATGACAATATTGTTCAATTAATTTGAGGGTCAGGTTGTGTATTGAATTTATATGACAATAATAATATGTATGTATGTATATACTTGTATCTTCTTCTATTAAAAGTGACCATAAAGTTTACTGAGATTTCCAGTCGATCAAGGATTGACTAGGACTTAAGATAGAATATTGTTAAATTAGAGAGACAAGTGTGGATTCTTGGGTGAGACATTATTTCGACCTCCGCTTTCAGCCGACCAGCAAAATCGAGATATAGAAATACATATGCATATAAAATAGTTCGAATGATTATCTCCGCGATACAAATACATAACTATGTTACATGATATAGGACTTTGAACATTTCTACTCAGAATTGGTCAATGCATGAGATCAGACAGCGGTCTTTACTACACACGTACATATATAATAGGTGATCCAAGAAGAGGTACCACTTTTTGACAGATCAGGCGTGGGTCGTGTCAAGCTGTCATGTTTCTTTTGTTCAGTATTGTTTGGCATTTTATCATGAAGAGGCTTCCGCCTGAACAACGTTTACAAATCGTTCAACTTTAAACCGAAAATTCATGTTCTGTAAAAAATGTATTTTGCGCGCTTCGTTCAACTTATGGTAAATATGATCGGCCTAATGAGTGTATTACTCGCAACACCATCATCCATCTTGAGACCCAGCATTCATTATTGGATAATTTAAGATATTCGACTGAATAGAACAACGCAGTGAAGAAAATATAGTGGTCGTAGCTGAGAGTGTACACGAAGACCGTGGAGAGTCGATTCGGCGACGTTCGCAGCAACTCGGACTGACGTATGGAACGACTGGCACATTTTATGTCGAGATGTTAAATTAAAGCAAGCAAAATACAGCTTGTGCAAGAACTGAAACCGCTGGACCTTCCCAAGTGACATCGCTTCGGTCTAAGGGCTCTTGAAAAGTTCTAAGCAGATCGGACGCTTTCGAGCCAAATTTTGTTTGGCGATGAGGCTCATTTCTGGCTCAATGGGTGTGTAAACAAGCGAAATTGCCGTTTAGGCCAGTCAATTGGTCACCAAGATCGTGTGATATCACACCGTTAGACTTTTTCGGGTGTCGATATGTAAAGTCGAAAGTCTATGCGGACAATACCGCATCGATTCAGGCCTTGGAGCAAAACATAACGCGTGTCATTCACCAGTTTCCAGTCGAAATGCTCGAATGAGTCATCAAAAGTTGGACTCAACGTATGGACCATCAAAAAATAAATGCCAAAGACTGTTCTTTCGCATGATAATAAACATTCCCAATTATACTGTATATTAAGGTGGGTAAAAAAATCGCCTTTTTTTACGCTTACACTGAAAAGTAAGTTCTTAGACACCTCTACGAAATTTTCTCCAAGTATGAGTTCTTAATTGTAACGGAAAGGACAGTTTTGTGTTTTTTTTATTATATTCAAATCATTGCGTGATATATTTTTTCATTCTGCTGCTTGTATTATAGCTACAGAGTATAATAGTTTTGTTCATCTAACGGCTGTTTGTATCACCTAAAAATAATCGAGATAGATATTGGGTTTTATATATAATATATAAATGATCAGGATGACGACACAAGGTGAAATACGGGGCCGTCCGTCTGTCCGTGTAAGCTGTAACTTGAGTAGAAATTGAGATATCTTTATGAAACTTGGTACCGTAAGACGGTTGGTATTGGTTGGCCCACAAAACGCCAATAATCAAGAATAAATAATTTGCCATAACTAAACTCCACAATAAGATACAGGACTGTTATTTGGTACACAGGATCACATTAGGGAAGGCCATCTCCAGCTTAAAATTATTTTAAAAAGTGTGCGTAGTCCCGCCACCATTTAATGTGCGTACCTCCTAAACCGCTAATGCTATAATAACGTAATATTCCTATGTTATGATGCGAAAATGAAATCGGACTACAACCACGCCTACTTCCCATATAACTTAATTTTAAATTCCATTTGTTTTTTTCCTTAGCCAAATTATAAAAATAACGGTGTTTGAAAAATAAAAACATCAAATACATTTGTACATTTTGTATGTCGCAACAAATATTGTCATACAATGTACTTATATCTTTGTAATCATTTGTATACGAACTGGTTCTCACCAAGTAAGTTCGAGAATTGAGCAATAACCCACTATCAACTCTCATTGCCCGAATACTACCGAAACCATAGTGTATGTAGAGAAAAAAACAAAGAGAGAAGAATTAGAGGAATTAGTTTTCTTTCTGTTATTTATTGATGAGAATACTCTTTTTGGTATCAAACCAACAAGCTTTGCATTAATGCATGCATAAACAAGTGTTTCTGATTCTATGAAAGTATGTACTTATATTATTACGCGATTAACTTATGGAAATAAATTAAAAATACTTATGTATGTATGTATGTATGTACATATATGACTTAAACATAATAAAGTAAGCCTATTTCAGTGAATGTTATGGGATATATGTATTGCTCTATTGGCCACATTTGCAGCTCGAACGGCAACCGCAGCTGCCACTTTGTGATTGTGAACCGCATTTGCAAGCTAAAAGTAAAAGAATTATATTTATATTATAAAAAATTTCTCATTTAATTGATTTATGATCTTTTCCAAAATGCTACATACACAAATGTATGTACCATATGTAAATGGGTCACTTACCGCTTCCACAGGGACAGCACTTGCACGCCGAACCGCAACCGCAATTGCCAGTCTTAGGCTCCGAACCGCATTTGCAACCTAATGTAAAGGAAAGCGCGTTAAAAAGCAAATAATAAACAAAAATGTTGTTGAGAAGCAAAATAGAAAATATGAAATGAAAAAGTTGCAATAATTAAAGCGTTATCTGTTTTAATTTTCACTTACCGCTTCCACATGGGCAAGGCATTTTGTTGTTTTAATTTGTTTATACTTTTTCTACACTTGAAAAAAAATTGAATCTTTTAGCTAATATCAGCTAGTCACTCTATTTTGTTAATCACTCAAGTTTAGCTTTGTAAACGCCAAATGTTGTTACACTGATCGACTCGTTGTTGCTCCTCTCGGTTTTATACACATCAAAACTCTCGAATCGGGGCTCGTCTGTAGGAGTTACGAAGTTACCGTCAATTACAAGCGGCCCAGAGTCTGTAGCTGAAGTGCGGTGCGCAATATTTTCGCCTACAGTGCGGGTATTACGTGTGTATGTATGTACATTAGTTCATACATAACTGTATGTGTATGTGGATGGATTACGGGTATGAAGCTTTTGTTTGGCCTTGGTGTGCACAAGTAGGAGCGTAATTGTATCAATTGACATTGTATGATGCGTTCCCAGTAGATTTTGGCAATTAATTCGAATTTGTAATATTCTATGTATAAATATAATAATTAATTTTATTAGAATTAGATACTTAGTACATGCCATAAATATCTCAATGAATGAAAGTTATTTTAAGCTGGATCTCCTGACATAAAATATATTATAAATATTTGACTTATAAGCCAGTATAAACAGTTTTTGCCCAAAGTACAGTTGGGATATTTAAATAAATTCTCCCAGCAATTTTAACTGTGGTTCCACAGTAAATTGAGTATGACTTTGTAGTATTAAATAATTTATAAACAATTTATAGCTAAATTTTGGTATACAAGCATCTAATATATAGATTAAGATTTTTGGATTATGTTTTAGCTATCACTGGTCACAGATACACCTTCGCATGTCAGACCTCTTGAAAAGGTGGTTTAGTTGATTGGCTCAATAGCCGCCATTTTATCAAAATGTGAATATGAATTTTTGTTTCGATTTTCTAATTTTCTGTGTTCTGAAAATATAGAGTTATAATGAAGTCAACTTCGCTGTTCTTCATCAGTTATATAGTTCCTACTGGTCAGTCACTTCAGGTATAACACAAATCACATTCATGTTTATACTATGCATATCTTCTATATGTTGTAAAGATCGTAATGAGGGCACACTTTGGTCAACCGTTGAAAGCCCTCAGAAAATCTTTGCACACGACACCAATAATTTTCATAGCACTTAACCAACGATCTAGTTTTGCGCGCAACTCTAACAAAATATATATACTTATTACATACATATATAGTATGCTTGGACAATAATCCTATAATTGCTTTTTATTACGTCTGCTTTCAAAGTGTTAAACCTACAATAACAATAAAAACTCAAATTTCTAATTTCAAAAATAAGAAAGAAAAATATTAATACAACATGCCTTGCCCATGTGGAACCGTAAGTGACTCAATCTAAATACATATAAATTCATACATATTTAGGTCCCTAATAGTTCTTTAAGGCTACTTTTATGTAAAAACATTTTATCTGAAAATTGCACGTTTTAGTTAATAATTATTTTATTGTAGGTTTCAATGTGCACTCACCTAAAAGTAATTTGGCTGCGCGTTAAGTGCTTCCATGCGGAAGCGTGAGTTTCAGTTTCAGTTGTTTGTAAGTCAAGTTTTTCTTTAAAAATATATATATCATATTTTGTTTGTTGTAATTATTAAATGGTTGATGTCTATTTTGTGTGGTTTTAGAGTTCAAGTGTAGTTTCCTGCAAACTCAGAGCGGCAGTTGTGGTTGCGGCAATGGCTGCAAATGTGGACAATAAAGAACACTGTATTAAATTTGTAATAATACACTGTACTAAATATGTCACAATAAAAATGTAATATTTCACAATAACAATAAAGTTCGCTTATGTTGGGATAAATATTGGTCAGTTTTAAATGGAAAGCCATCATATATCGAGCTTAAGTATGGCTATCTAGTAGTTCCACTATGACAATATTGCTCAATTAAAGCTGACTCTAGTTGTGTATTGCATTTATATGACAATAGCAATATATATGTATATACCTGTATATATAAGCTCTTAATTGTAACGGGAAAGACAGTTTTTTATTTATTTTTATTATAATCAGATCATTGCTACAGATTATAGTAGTTTTGTTCACCTAATGGTTGTTTGTATCATTAAAAACTAATCGAGATAGATATAGGGTTATATACATATGTATAAATGATCAGGATGACAAGAGGAGTTGAACTTCGGTACCTGTCTGTCCGTGCAAGCTGCAACTTGAGTAAAAATTAAGATATCTTGATGATACTTGGTACACATGTTCTTGTAATATTCCTACAATCACGCCTACTTGCCATTATACATTATTTTAAATTCCATCTGAATTTTTCACATTCCAGTATATAAATAAAGCACCAATTAATATAACGAGATAAAACTTTGGACGAATAGTGCCTTTGAAGTGTGCCACCTTATGACCAAAAATTGTCCAAATCGAACCAAACCTGTTCAAGCTACCTAGGTACCATGTACATGTGTGTGGAACCCAATGGTTATAGTCGACTTCTTTCCAAAAATATTGGTCAATGTGTGAAATATTTAACTGAAATTCGGAGAGAATCCTTTCCTGATAATAAATGTCTGAATGTCAAATATGGGTTGAATCGGGTCAATACTTACCTTAGCCCCCATATACCTAATATAAAGATTTTTGAACTTCACACTGCATATATCGGCCAATATGTGAGTTATCTCAATGAAAATGAGAGAACGTATTTTACTCATAACCGTGTATCTTTGTCCATAAATGAATAAAATTGGGCGAAAACTTGATCTGGCCCCCATATAACTAATAGCAGGATTTTCGAGCATTCGGCTGACTTTACTCCATATGATTGGTGATGGTATGTGAGGTACCTTAATGAAACTCTGGGAGCATTTGGTTAGTGTGGGGTACATTAGTGTATGTGGTATTTGCAAAAATTGAAAAAATTGGGTCAATGCTATCCCCAACTCCCATAAGTAATATTTTATTCTTAAGTTACTTCTTTTCTAGAAGATATAAACCCAGTTAGCACTTGATATTATTCATAGACGAGAACTATGTCGAGAAATGTTCGAAACATGAAAGCCAAAATTAAAATAAAGGGTTTAGTGGTAGTACTTAATATAATCACAATCGAAATCAATTACAGCAATTAAGATCAAAAGATAAGCTGGCTTTTCATTTTTATTATAAGTTTTGTATCTAATAATCAATAATGATGCTTTCCTAAAAGTAAAATTCTTCAGATAAAGTAGATGTAATCTTCGAAACATTCCTTTTTTTGGAATAGCGTTTATTCTTTCACCGATCCTTATCTGCGTATCATGAGTTGAAAGTAATAAACTAATTAGTTATGCATATGTATATTCCCATGATTTGTTGCCAGTTATGACCCATTTGCGCAATAAAGTGGTGATCATTCATTACTTTGTAGTTAGACTTTCAAAAGTCAAATGTCGTAAAATTGGCTTTTGAGATAAAGCGTTTTATGTGATACAAGTTTTTAATTTTTTTACTTCCATACAAGGACTTCATTCTGATCTTTCAGTTTTTATGGCAGCTATATACTTATGTGGTCCGCTATCGGCGATTCTGAAAAATGAGCGACTTCTTGTGGAGTAAATGACGTGTGCAGAATTTCATTCATTTCATTGATCATTTAGATACATATACAATATTTATAGGATCTCCAACATTTCCTTTAGATGTAACAAACATCGTGGTAAACTTAATATACCCTGCTTAGGGTACGAGTATAACAATCAGTTGATGACTTTTACCCGCGCGGCTCTGAACTCAGTGAAACAACTATTCATAAGTGGTTTGTTATATTCCGTACAGGTCAATTGAGTTTGAAAGACGGTAAACTTTTTACTGACGAAAATATAAAAAAAAAATTCACAAAATGATTTTAGATGACAGGAAAATGAGGTTGATCGATATACGCACCTTCTCTGAACCGCCAAAAATATTATAGGAACGTGTGGCATACATTGTTCATGAAAATTGAAATACGGAAAAACTCTGTGCTGGGGTTAGGGTTAGGTTAGCGGGTCGATCCTAAGAAGGATCACACTTGGACAGCTTAAACGCCGGTCCGTTGTGGTACCCCGTGATGAAAAGTTGCAATAATTAAAGCGTTATCTGTTTTAATTTTCACTTACCCTTCCACATGGCAAGGCATTTTGTTGTTTTAATTTGTTTTATCTTTCTACACTTGAAAAATTGAATCTTTAGCTAATATCAGTAGTCACTCTATTTTGTTAATCACTCAAGTTTAGCTTTGTAAACGCCAAATGTTGTTACACTGATCGACTCGTTGTTGCTCCTCTCGGTTTTATACACATCAAAACTCTCGAATCGGGGCTCGTCTGTAGGAGTTACGAGGTGCCGTGTGCAAAAGCTGGCCCGAAGTCTGTAGCTGAAGTGCGGTGCGCAATATGTTCGCCTACAGTGCGGGGTATGTACGTGTGTATGTATGTACATTAGTTCATACATAACTGTATGTGTATGTGGATGGATTACGGGTATGAAGCTTTTGGTTTGGCCGCGTGGTGTGCACAAGTAGGAGCGTAATTGTATCAATTGAACATTGTATGTATGCGTTCCCAGTAGGAATTTTTGGCAATTAATTCGTAATTTGTAATATTCATGTGTTATAAATATAATAATTAATTATTATTGTAAATTGAATACTTAGTACATGCCATAAACATATCTCAATGAATGAAAGTTATTGTTAAGCTGGGAATGGCTCCTGACATAAAAATATATTATAAATATTTGACTTATAAGCCAGTATAAACAGTTTTTTGGCCATAAAGTACGGATTGGGATATTTAAATAAATTCTCCCAGCAATTTTAACTGTGGTTCCACAGTAAATTGAGTATGACTTTGTTAGTATTAAAATAATTTTATAAACAATTTATAGCTAAATTTTGGGTATACAAGCATCTATTATATATAGATTAAGATTTTTGGATTATGTTTTAGCTATCACTGGTCACAGATACACCTTCGCATGTCGAGACCCTCTTGAAAAAGGTGGTTTAGTTGATTGGCTCAATAGCCGCCATTTTGTATCAAAATGTGAATATGAATTTTTTTTGTTTCACTTGATTTTCTAATTTTCTGTGTTCTGAAAATATAGGTATAATGAAGTCAACTTCGCATTGTTCTTCATCAGTTATATAGTTCCTACTGGGTCAGTGCACTTCAGGTGGCTATAACACAAATACATTCATATTTATGTACAATTGCA